GAATGTAAGAATGTAAAAAAAGGATGGTTTATTTAAAATTAAAAAAGAGGAAGAATAAGCAAGAGAGAGAGAGAGAGAGAGAGAGAGAGAGAATGCGTATATTTATTAAACGCGCTCTGGGACGTTATCCCCTCAAGCGCACCAAACTCTGAAGATACAGTGAAGAAATTATAAACAAGTGTATTAATTGTGCATGTAGATGTGCTCTCGTATGCATGTGTATACAAACACCTAAGCATGTACGCGATACAATAAACATATATATACATGCGTGTGTTTGTGTTGATGAGTGTGTATATGGAGAGAGAGAGAGAAAGGGGGAGAATTTAATAACATCAAAAGAGTTTAATAACATCAAAAGAGGGGGAGAGTTTAATAACATCAAAAAAGACGTTCTTCAAAGAAGCGTTATTTTATTGTCTGTTTTTTAAATCCTTTTTTTATGAAAAAAATATGATAAGAGATAATGCTAATCGGAAATAAAAAATTATTTCTGAATTTCTATAGTTTTTTCAAGAGTTATAATCAATATCAATGAATATTACAAACAGAAGTATAAAAATAAAAATATAAAATAAGTAAAATATAAAAATATAAAAATATTATATATAAAATCATAAAAATTTAATGGCGAAAACTTAGCGCTACTATACCAATTGTACCAAAATAACATGAATTATATTTTTTGATATCATAATTTTTACAAGAAAGTATATAAGTTTAAATAATTTTTCATTTCAAATTGGCGCATTCTTTTTTATCGTGATTTTTTCTAGGAAAGATAGATTTGAGCAATAGACAATAAAATAACGTTGCCTTGTATAATGCTTTTTTATGTACAGTGAAATCTCGAAATAGTGGACTGTACGGGAGTTTAGTCTATTATAACGAGATTACCTTCACTCCCCCCAAACGTTACAAACGTCCTTTCAAATACACTGTCAGGAGAAGGCGCCCACAGATCTACGTGGTCCCCCCATTCATGTTATTCGGGAGTAACCTAGTGTGTATCGAAGGAATGTCGTCTGCAATTTTGAGGTGTATTTACTATTTCGAAAAGTTCCACTGTATTAAGCTAACACTTTTTTGTACAATAATTATTTGAACGAACATGCGTGGATTCGGCGCCTTTTTTCATCTTTTCTTGAAAAGGTAATCTTTTATAAGTTAAATCATTCCTTTTTAGTGACATTTATACACAAACTGTCTAATTGAAAATATCTTTTTTGGATCTTTGGATTATTGGATCTTAATAACACACACATCAAATGATCAAATTTTTAATAAGCTTAATTAATGGCTTTAGTTTATATTGCACAAAAAGAACAGCACAGAAAAGTTTAAACAATATATAAATTTTCCCACGGAATAGAAAAATATATGTTCGATCGAGTGTGTGTGTGTGTGTGTGTGTGTGTGTGTGTGTGTGTGTGTGTGTGTGTAAAGCAACGGAATTGTCAGTGAATAATAATTATCTTTGCAGAGAATACATAGCATATTTCATTCTCGTTTGTTCATATCAATTACGAAATAATGATCTGCTTTACTCTCATTCTTAAAGCAAAATATTTAGTTTATATGGACTGTTGAAAATTTTGCCCCGTAATCTGCATTACCAATATATTCCAATCACAAAGCACATACACTCTTCATTGATAATATCTTCGTATATTCCGATATCATTTGCGTCCATCAAAACGGGACAACGCGTAGATAATAGTACAATCACAAGAAAATCGGAAAATTAGCAAAAACGGGACTGTTAATGTTTCTGACTATGAAAATCGGATTGGTGAAAGTCGAATCGTTAAAATATCTGTACGTGTATGTGTGTGTGTAACTGTGTAAATATAAAATATCATATCTTGCAAGGTATGTTGCGATGCTGTAAGTATCGCTAGCGTAATCTTGTGGTAGAAATTTCAATCGGTACAGAAATTTTCTACATACAACATGTAAAAAATACAAACGTATGTAATAGCAAAAAACAGAAAGATGACTATGATGATTACGACGCCCCCCCTCCCCACACACACGACGTTTCTTAAATAAAAATTTTCGTATTAGAATTTTACATTGTCATATTTCCGTTTTTAGTGCACGTAGAACAAAAATAGTTGTTATTGAGATCCAATAATTTAAGATACTCACAATTGAGCAGCATGTGTATAGATACACGATCTGTCTCGTTATTGCTGCAGATGACATGGCGCGAGACATTACCGTATCTCTTGATATAATTATAGCTTCTATAAATAATTAAACTATTTTATTAATATGCTCACGCAGCAATGATTTTTGAAGATCTTTAAAAATATCCCATCAGAGTAATCGTTTTTTAGAGCAAAGTTTCTTTAAAAACCAAGAAATTCTTGGTCAAACTTGTCCGAATACTTGTACGATTTTGATAAAGAGATCAGACAAAAATACCATTTTGTTTGCGCACGGAGTGCTAGCAGGGGGACCAAACGATGTCGCGAATTTTGGACCAACTCCAGAAGGAACGCCGATCGCATTATCGGTAAATCCAAAATCAACAGGGCTGGGATTCTGGATGCCTCCCTTCAGCTTGTCCATGGGTTTACTATAGTGCACTGGGTTACTATAGTACAGCGGAGATTGATATTGGTTATAAGTGCCCGCTTGGTTAACCTGGTTATAATACGGCCTGGATGCTGGTCGGTTAGTAGTAGTGGTAGTGCTAAGCGTAAACACAACCTCGACCGGGTTCCTAGGTGAATCCGGTATTATTGTTCCGTTGGGAAACTTGCGAACCAATTTGCCGTCCGGGAAGATGCCGAATATCACGTATGGGCTATTTATGTTCCTGGCATCGATCAGATTGTCCTCCGGTCGCTTCCGCACGATAGTTTTGTTGGGATAAATACCATAAACCTGGTAGTCGCGGATGGGTGCTTTGCTGGAAGAACTGAATCTCGAAGCTGGCATCGTCGCCTGGTTGCCATCGAAAGATCCTAGGTAGGACCCCATGTTTGGAACATCGAAAGATGTAAATGGCGGACGTGACATTACTCGATCTGACGTAGTACTCTGTGTGGTCGGTGATATGGTTGTTGCCGTCGGCATACTCATAACGGGTGATGTGATTGTCGTTGTTGTCGTCAGTTCCTCTGATTCGATTGAAGCAACCACGGTGCTTTGAGTATCGATGGTTGTTGTCTCGGTAGAGATAAGGTTTTCATTAATATCGATAGCTGGAGTGGTCGTCTCAGGCATGGACCTGGCAGTAGTAGCTAGGTCGGCTCGCGATGACGGTTTCGTTGATGTCGCTTGGAGAGTCGTTGTCGTTATCGTCGATGTCGACGTCGTTGTCGCAGTGTCCGTCATCGGTTCAATTGATGAGGATAAGATAGTCGTTGTGTCGATTGTGGGGAACTCGGAGGATGTGGTAAGAATGCTAGTGATGGTGGTTTCAGTTGGTTGCTTGGATTGGATGATTCGTGAGCCGATCGCCGTCCCTTGGGCGATTGTTGTTGTCGTTGTATCCTGGAAATGGGCAATAAGATTTGTTGTTTCACTTACGAGATCAGTTAGTATTTGAAGAACACTTGTTGTTATGTCGTTGAATTGATTAGTAGTGGTGGTATCAGTACAGCTTTCTAGATTACGAATCGATTCCGTGGTGGAAGACATTGAACTAGATGATTGAGAATCACTCATATTAATCGCGTTATCATTGCGTTATCATCACTGTTAACAGCGTTGTAATGATATCCGATATATTCATTACAAAGCATCGATTTTCCGTAATCTGTAACTTATTGTCAGATGTAAACTCTATTGTAATAGGCTTCGGTGTTTGATTAGAGACATCTACGGCATTTGTTCGCGCAATGTTTATCTCCGTCATAGCTACACAAATAGTTAATTCTGTTACCGTTTTCGCGGACATATCCGATATATCGTGAATTTTTTACATTGAGAAGAACATTTCTTTCGCGATGATAGAATTTGTTACAAAAGGATTATTAGTAGTAATAAATTTCGATTTAATGATTCAACATTATTATTTGAAAGAGTTGTAAATTGATTTTGTTGCGCAGAATCAATGGTTAAAGTCATAAATTAGATATCACTGTCAGACGTTAAATTGGATTAGACGATTATAAATCAGGCATGTTAGTAGTTAGTTCGGAACTCATGCTGATCGACTTTATTATGTTTGATGTTTTGATGTTTGTCTGAAAAAAAGATATTTGAAGTGTTGTAATAATATCACCTACATCAATTGAATTTGTGATATCAGTGGGTTGCGTGTTAAGTTCCATTAATGAAATTTCCGATCCTACAGTAGAACCGCGATTAGAACTTTCTTCTGTTTCATTTCTGGATGTTATGACATCTATACGTTCGGAAGTATTTTCTAAAGCGGTTGAGAGTTCGGCAGATGCATTAATTTTTTCTGACATATTGTTCGAAAGCATGAATTGATTTTTATCATCATTTTCTATCATGCTACTAGCTTGAGTCAAGTTATTTATGTCTGGAACAATAGTTTCAAAATTATAAATTTGATCTGACATGAGTAACGATTGTCGTGTTTCATTTATTTCTTCCGAGAAGAGTGTCTTCGCAATAGTCATTAGCTTAGTAAGCAACGTATCATTAGACGACCGTGAGTCGTTCTTCGTAATGAAATCGGCAAGTCGCGAGCTAGTCGCGATTTCTGCATCTATTGATGAATCTCTCGCATTCTGAGTCATATTCGAATTCGGCATATTCAGTGCATTTGTTTTCTGATCATTAGATCGATTGTGTGCGATTGAAAACGCAGTGGCCAAATCTACTATATTTTGGGTGCTCATTTTTTGTGCTGGTCTGTTTGTCATTGTTTGCGCTAACTCGGTATCGACATCTTGAATAGTTGTTATTCCGACGTTCCGCGAACTAGTTTCCCATATGGTAGTCGTCTCTTCCAAATTCTTCGTATTTATCGACGATGAATCCGATATTATGTTGAACAGTTTGGAGGAGGTGGTCGTAGTAGTGGGCTTTTCAATAGATGTCCTAACTGTGAAGTCTTGCAAATGCGATAAAATATTTTGTGAGATATCGGTAAAGCGTGTGTGAAACGTAGACGTAACAGGTGCCTGTGTCCCTTGAATCTCAGTTATGTCGTTAAAAATTTCTTCTGTTGTGGATTCGATGGTGCTCGTATTTTCCGTCATTTGGGACGGAATTGTCGCATCGAATTGTTGTATCATGTTCATTTCTATATTTTCAATTACATCTTTTGTCTTTGTCGTTTGAGACGATGTTTCAGCATACTGTTGCACAGTATTTGTTTCAATATTCTCAGATGTATCATTCATCACGGACATAGTCGTTGCTTCAGATAATATTTGTGTTATAGTAACGCTTTCGGTAATTGGAGAAGATGTATCCGATATATTAGTTGATATTTGTAGATTCACAGAGGCGGGCGTGAATACATTTGTGACTGCTTTAATAGTGGATGGTGACGTTACCTCCATCGTTTTAGTGCTTATATCCACCGATTCAAAAGGTCGAACATTATCAGAAGTAGATTCCGTGGAAAGCAACGTATCCGAAGTTACATCAACGTTCGTCGATGTCTCAATCGTGACTATTTCGGTCGTGGTAACATTAAGTAACATTAAAGTATTCGAAATATTTGCGCTAGCCAGTGTATTTGTCATTGTGTTATCGGAAGCGCTGGTTCCGAACGATTTCATAATAGGTGCTGTCGTCGTTTGCCCGCTCGTATCTGGATTTGCGGGTAGTCGGATTGCCATCGAGGTGATTTTCGGCCTATTATCAGGAATAATCTCAGTAGCTAATCTCGAAGCAAACGAAAGGTTTGCCGATTGAACAGCGGTGGTAATGTTTATGGTAGTAATATCTGGGAAGGATGTAGTCGCGATAGATTCGGATTTTGGGCTTGCGGTATCATTGTTGTTAGCAGTATCATTACTGATGTCGTTAGATACAGTAGCGTTAGAGTCTACCTTTGTTACCCCGCCAGTTAGTTTTTGCTGCTGAGACACATCATTCACGCCCAGATTTTCGTTTCTTATGCTAGCTGACTCTAATGCCTGATAAAAAGTGATGAATTTGGGCTCGCCAGGGCTGTTGATGTGAACGGGCAGCGCCAAGTCAGAATTCTGCAATCAGAAATTCGGTGCGTGCAAGTGCTGTACACACTTTAGTGCAATTTATAGTGTGATAGATAGGTCTCAAGAATATTTGTATCATATACAATCTACACATCGGGAGCAGCGTTTTGACTCTTAAATGCATTAGTTACACTTTTTCTGTAGAGTAAAATTTAATTTAACTTAAAAAAATTAGATTATAACATAGACAGCAATAGTAGTTTGCGCATTTAAAAGTCAATACGTTCTAGTTATTCTATTTACAAAAAAAGAAAGCTGTGCTTCTAAATGAATACAATAATGATAGTTAGGTGAAATACGTTCCTATGATATTCTTTGCGATAAGATACCTTGCGTTTACAAAGCCCCACTGATGTACTTTCACTATTATATTATTACGGAAGTATTGCATTAACATTTCTCACATGATGCGATGGTAGCCTCAAAAATAGTAAATATTTACAGATGTGCTAAGTACGAAAATTACTTGTATCATATATAAAAAATTATTTGTATCATGTATAAAAAATATAATTTATTTAACTCCAATATAGGCCATTTCAATATTTTATAATATTAACATTGTGATAAAAAATAATATATTAGAATCAACTGTACAATAACTATAGAATTAATTAATAAAAGAAATGTGTGTGTGTAAAAATGAGACACTTATCGGTAACAAAGAACCCATAAAAAGGATATATACTATATTATTACTATATTACATTCCTCTTTCTTTGTTTATATTTATCCAGGATTGGGATAATTATTTTATAAAAGTAACTTGTTACCGTTACCTTTTTTTTCCAAAAAGTAACTTGTTATCGTTACTCGTTATCAATTTTAAAAAGTAATTCGTTACCGTTACCGTTACTCAAAATGTAACGAGTCATTACAATTTCCGTTATTTTTTTTATATTCAATACAAACTTTACATAATTTTTTTTTTAATTAACAAGATCAAATTGAATATTAAAAATTTACACTAAACATTAAAAAATTTATATATTATTTTACATGTGCTACTCGCCTTACAAAGTAGAAAGAAATATCAAAAAGAGCTTTTAGTAGTTTTAATGCTGCATTCCAACACTTTTATCAATATGTTCTTTTGTATAAAAATTATATTGATTCTAAAAAAAGTAACGATAAAAGTAATTGTTAAATTTGTTATTCGTTATCCAAAAATGTAACGAAGTTACTTTTTTCGTTACAAGTCACGCGTTACTTCCCAACTCTGTATTTCTCATCTCTGTTATCTCATCTATTTTATCCCATTATATGAAAACTTATATGCATCTACTAAATATGCTTACTTTACTCAATTAATGCTGCCCATGAGTAATATTCTTAATGAGACGGAACACGCGTGAAATATTTGTATAGAATCTGGATAGAGATATTGTATCTATAATTAACATTTCTTGTGTGAAGATACAATGTTAAAACATATAAATATATATTTAGTTCTAAGAAATAAAATATCAAATTCCAAATAAAAATATAATAGATGCTGGTACAGAAAATAAAACAAATATCAGTGGATTCATTACAAATATATTGACAATTTTGTGGCTATTTAATGTAACACAAAAATTTATCAATATTATCAGAAAGTTAAAATATATTTATTATGACATTTTAATTAAAAACAATTCTTAAGAACCACAGAAATCTATTTTTAATATTATAAAGAATTGAAACATAGTAAAATATTTCTAGCCTTTTATATTAGAAGTTTTATTAAAATATATGGCATATTTGTTATAATTGCATCCATAAAACTAAATTTTTATAATCATTTTGAAAAAACATAATTTTATTAATACAGACTTTTCTTCATTCTTTTCCTTTCCCTCTTTCTGTCTGCCTTCTCCCTTCTCCCCTTTCCTCCCTTCTCTCTCTCTTCCCCCTCTCCGTCCCACCTCCCCTCTTCGCGCCTCTCCTTCTCCGTCACCCCACACTCACCATCTCTTCCCCTCTCCCTCCCCCTCCTTCTCTCTCCCTCCCCTCCCACCTTCCCCAATTATATTAGAAGTTTTATTAAAATATATGGCATATTTGTTATAATTGCATCCATAAAACTAAATTTTTATAATCATTTTGAAAAAACATAATTTTATTAATACAGACTTTTCTTCATTCTTTTCCTTTCCCTCTTTCTGTCTGCCTTCTCCCTTCTCCCCTTTCCTCCCTTCTCTCTCTCTTCCCCCTCTCCGTCCCACCTCCCCTCTTCGCGCCTCTCCTTCTCCGTCACCCCACACTCACCATCAGCCAGACGAAACATCCCCCTCCTTCTCTCTCCCTCCCCTCCCACCTTCCCCAATCCCTTCTCCTCCCCTCCCCCTCTCTCCATCCCTCTCTTTCTCCCCTCTATCCCCCCTCTCTCCCTCACTCTCTCTCCCCTCTCCCCACACTCACCATCTCTCTTTCTTTCTCTTCCTACCCTTCTCCCCCTCGCCCCTCTCCTCTCCTCACTCACTCCCCTCCCTCCTTCCCTAACTTTCGTCCCTCCCGCTCTCTCTCTCTTCCTCTCCTATGCGCTTTCCAGGTCATAAATTCTTATGATTATTAAAAGTCAGTAAAAATATATATATATTTTTATATATTTATAAATTTATCTTAACTTTAACTTGTGGCTACATAAGGATAAACAATTGCTAATCACGTGCGATGCTAAAATCAATACATTTATTATAAAGGATATAAGTATATAAAATTTTATGATATTGTATGATACAATATTTGTGTGTGTGTGCACATAGACATATATTTATGGCAATGCCGTCAGTGCCGTGAGATAATTATGTTCGATGACCGTGCAAATATCTTTTTCGACCAAAGTTAGTAACTTTTTTTGCAGATCGTTCTTTAAATATTAAAATGTCATATCTAATGATGTTTATAAATCGACTCTCTTCTCAATGAATTGTATATGCAATAATTATATATGTGTGCTCTTTTAAAGCGATAATGCGATGATATTCACAAGTGATAACAGATTGTACCCATTAAAAAATTGTTATTAATCATAAAATAATTAATAAAAGCATGAGCGACGATAAAACTATTTCTCATTATGATAAAGAGTAATTAGATTAACGCAAACTGTTTGTATGGATATAATTAAGAATGAAATTGCTCGATGAGGTTGTGGCGACAGAATTGGTCCACGATGACGGTGCAATTGCTTCGGAATCCTTTGGTACTTTCGTAGGGAAAACCTTTTAAGCACAGAAAATTACCTCACATAACTTTTTCTGAAGGGAGTCATTAACATCAGGTATATCGCCTTACCTGGGACTTTCCATTCGCTTTTGTTATCATGACTTACTCATACCTTTTGTTTTATTTTATTATTTTAAACTATATAAAAAATATACTTCACATACGTTGAATAGCATAGCACAGTAAATACACATACGTATAAAAAGCATATAAAATACAAACGTACTCGTTTTATGTTTGCCTTAAGATAATGCTAAATCAGTTTTAATATTTAGCCAATAATTATACAAAGTACATAGTACACATCATTGTTATCGCATTAAAGAAAAAATAAAATTTTTTTATGAATACATTAATACATACATACATATATATATACATACACACATACATACATATATATAAAATAAAAATACAGGGTGTCCTAGACTACCCGTACACCTCTTTTCATTCAAAAACTAAGCATTTTAGAGAAAAACGTTTTGAACAAAAATTGTATGGTTTTGAGGGGAACATAAGATGGTATCATTGGTTTGACCTTGGATGGCATCGTTAAGGTCAAGTCAAGGACACCTTTAATTTCTGAAATGGAATCAAAGCTCTCGGGATAAGCTATAAGAATATGCAATAAAAAATAGGGGATTCTATTTAAGAAATTAAAGGTGTCCTTGACTTGACCTTAACGATTCCATCCAAGGTCAAACCAATGACACCGTCTTATGTTCCCCTCAAAACCATACAATTTTTGTTCAAAACGTTTTTCTCTAAAATGCTTAGTTTTTGAAAGAAAAGGGGTGTACGGGTGGTCTAGGACACCCTGTATATGTGTGTATATATACAGGATGGTCCAGAACAACCGTTTGTCCTTAAAAGGTCGTATTCCTGAATCAATTCTAAGACGATTTTTCCTTTACGAAAATTTTGTTTGAAGCTTAGTTCTTAAATTATAAAAAGAAATAGTTAGCGAATTACGGGACGAGTATCGAAGGTAGGCAAGGGCAGCGCAACTCACCGTCTGATGCAGGCACTTACGTGAGGCGCTTGCTACAGCTGATCGAGCGCTGTTTGCTACACGCGATGGGTGTGTGTGTGTGTGTGTGTGTGTGTGTGTGTGAACGTGTATGTGTATGTATTACGCGTACACGTTCTCACACACACACACACACACACACACACCCATCGCGTGTAGCTCAAAACACTCAAGTTAGCTTCTAAATACTTGGTTAGTTACCTATTGATATCATATTTAATTTATATTTTTTATTTTTTAAAGATTCTTTTATTTTTCTAGGGGAAAATTTTTTATAAGTTATATTTTAGATATGTACCTGGCGTATTTTTTTCACCTTTGTGAGGTATTTTTAATGAAATATCACAGTTTTTTGTAATTATTTTTAATTTATATTAATATATTAACGAAATTAATATCTGCTTCGATAAATAGCAGTTGCTTATGAATCGTTAATGAATAGAGATCGAGTTTCAGACATCTTTTAATAACTTTCGCAATCGCGAATAACGAGGTATATACTATGACGACGGAGCTGTTGCGTACTTGCTCTCACTGTACGAATGACAACAAGGTGAGACAATTCATACACAATACATTAGCGCTATATACGTCGCATACCAATACGAGTCTTTGTTTATATATTTGGCGGTATGTCAATGCGGCGTAGTGAGGTATCCCTCTTCCCCTCTCTCTCTCTTTCTTTCTCTCTCCCCTCCCTCCATCTCTCCCATTCCCTCTCTCTCTACCTCTCTTTCTGCCTCTCTCT